AATCCACCCACACAGGTGACATAATGAGGCAGGCAGCTGCCATAGCTACTGTTGTCATGTGATTGGTACTTCTGGCACATTGCACAAAGGGTAGCTATGTTGCTCTACCAGTGTTAATATATGTTTTTTGCATGTCTATGTCATTTGCACCTGATTCTATTGTCATTTTTGCTTCGGATAACCAATTCACCCCAGTGATTGTAAAGGGATATTAAATTAGGGCTTTTATATAATTCAGTCCACTCCAATCCATATTTATTCATAAAAGACAATTAAAAACAACATCAGTTGCTATACAATCAAAATATAGCAAAAACCATGAAAACTCCACAGTAAAAGAACAAATACCGAAAAAGTTAAACCTTAATAACAACACTGCAAAAACACAAAGACCGATTCAATAGACATGAGGGCAATAATGTCGAAAGGCAACTTTCACAGTGAATTGTTTCCCTCTATTTAAAACTGTTGCCAAAGTCTCTTGTAGTGTCTAACTTACTCAAGAAATGTTTTACAGCTACAGGCATACGGACACTCTTGTATTGATTTTCTTCAGGTATTGATTTCCCTGCATCCTACAGTACCTCTTTCTCTTTCCTCCCCTTTCCGTCCTCAGTCACTGGGCCACAGAAACTGGAGGATTGGTATCAGTGTGATGAAGTGTGTGTGTGTGTGAGTGTGCGGGTGGGAGGAGAGCTGCTTGGAGAGTCACAGATAGAGAGAAGAATCGGTCACACCTGGGTGCTGGTGAAGTGCTTGCAGTCTATTTCTTCTGACAGACCTACAAGCTGGAGAGAGGGCTCAATAACATGCTCTGTTGCAGACAACACATGTACAATGTGCGCTGAGCATGCATCACAAGTGTCGGTAAACATAGACAAGACCGGGACGAGGTAGCGGTTATATACTTAGACGTCGTTGAGTTCCCCATACGGGTTTCCGACCAATCAAGAATTTCATTAACAAAAAAACAACAACACAGAAGTCATCTACAAAGATGAAGAGGCAAGAGAGGTAAATATGTAAATAATAGATGACACCTATAGTGATCCCTGTGGCTGACCGTCTGAGCACTGGGATGTGTAGGGCTATATGTGTGTTTGTACGACTGACATGTACATCCCTCAAATAAACACCTCTGCATGGCTGCTTGACAGGTCTTACCTGTTTTAGCCCAATTGACCCCGAATGATGTATCATGAGTCAGGATACGGCTTATGCACAGCAGAGGTTCACATGTGTGAGTGGGCTTGTGTGTGGGCTGGAGATGACGATGATGGTGGTGGTGGTGGTGTGTGAGTGTTGTTTAGTAGGCGGTTACGGTTTAGGTGAAAAACTCCAAATGTTTGCACTCCTACACACCAAATGTGTTTTTGCGCTCCAACTGCAGTCACTGTAAACGGTGGTTGTTCTTAAAAGTGTTTAAAAAAAGGTTTAAGGAACTTTGGACTCATACTCACTCGGGCAGGACTTACTTTCAAAATATATCATACAGACCTTTCATACCGATAGCAAAGTGTGTTCCTCTTAGGCCAAACTCTCCTTTAACTGTTGCACACTTCAGAGTGATGTAACATTGGGCTGGGTTAACGCAACGGGCCCTTTAAGTCGTTAGCAAAGAGCATTAATGAGCCTAGTGCTTAGAAGCTCCCTGCAGACTTAAGAATGTCTGATGTTGAGGGGATGAGGGCACTAATTCTCCAAAGTGCCCAAATAAGTAGAGGATTAGCAAAGCCTTCCATTAGCCAAAAGCCTTGATGATGCTAAGCTAATGCGCTACAACTAGACTAGAGCAAGACGGATGAAGCGTTAGTTAGCACGACTGCTATAATAGGGATGTGGAATAAAGTAGATCAAGTAGCTTATGATACATGACTGGCTTATTCGGCTCAAGTATTCAGAGAAATGCAGACGTGCATGTGCAGACTCAAAATGCATTCATACTTTAATGTACGCACATAAGTAGGTGCACCTCCCCACACACCCACAGACGTACCTTTGCTCAAACATGAAGGTAGATCTGTAGATAGAAGATGAATCCTGGGCTCATTGGTTTGAAGAAGAATGACCATGACTAAGCAGTATGCTGAGACTTAGGGAAGTTTAATCATATATTGTTACACTTTAATTAATTCCTCAAAATGTGGACTTGCACAATGGGCAGAGAGATTGAAACTGCTTTAGCTTCCACTCATTAATCATCGACATAAATGGTTGCCTGAAATAACCCTTTAGCTATTCCTAAAGAGGGGAATTGTTCCAAACAATGTATTGCCAATTAATTACAGAATTGACTTGATTGACAACTGTAACCAACTAACCTTATAAACTGTACCTTTTTGAGTGGACCAGCTCCAGCATGACTTTAATCTTGTGTGTTAGGCTTTTTTTGTCCACATGTGCTCGGTGTTCAAGACAATGAATGTATCTTGAACAGATGAATGAATATAGTCTAAGGGTGACTTGTACATCCTAAAAGTCACCAATCATAATTGAATCAGTAATACTTGAACTATGTTATTGAACAACATGCAATTACAGGAAGCAGACACCACATAGTGCCTCATTAATACGCAGACAAACACACACGTCACGATTTGACCATTCATCCTCACAAACCACTTTGAAATCCAACTCATTAGGTTGTTTTCGTACAAACCAGTTGACACAGTAGACGTTGTCATATTGTATAGCTCTTATGTTCTCTCTCTCTCTCACACACACATGCACACATACGATGTTTTATTCTGCTTTTCTCAGCATTATGAATCTGTCTCCTCAAGCTTTTCTTTGTTGTTAACTTTCTTTCTTTTCTCTAGCTTAGTTTTTGCAGTGTCGACAGAGTGGTCTGTGTGGCATTATACTGTTCAAGCTGACTGTGTGTGGTTTAGATTGTGCTTTCTTGCCATTTTACCATTTGAGTGTGTGTGTATATCTGTGTCTTTGTCTTCACTGTACTGGACACAGAGCTCCAAACAAATAGGGGGCAGCATTTCACCTCTACTACTGAGTCTATACGATCTCAATTTACTCTCATCAGTTACATAAAAAAGCCAACTATTAGTTAACAGCAGGGCAAGAATTTGCAAAATTAGACTTGTGCCGCAGCTCCGGCTGTGTAGCAACTTGAATTCAGGCAGTGCAAACCCCATCACCAGAGTGGTTTTCTCGTTTATACCACTATGGATTTAATCCAATAAACAAACTATCAAATGTACACGGACACTTTACATTCAACTGCAAGCCCTTGGGGCACATCTACTTCTTTATCCTCTCATTGTGGACTGAGGGGATGACAGGACAGGACAGATCTAGCTGGGTAGAATGTTAATTTCAGTACATGTCTCTGCAACACAATGTAGACATCTTGTCATAATGCCATTGTCAACACTGTAACATTCTGTTGATCGTGTTAGTTCATCTTTTGGAATGTTTTAAACTTAAATTCTGGCCAGATGTCACACATTGCCCTCTTAAACTTTTTTACCCACTTGTTTTTGTTTTACCCACTGACTCTCTGTCAAGTTTTAAGTCAGCTAGAAGTGAAATAAACACCTAAGATTTGTGCTTAGCATTCAGTGAATGGCGCCGTGAGTAGCAGCATGGGAGCAGAAGTGATGGATGAAACAAGATGGACGAGGGACAGAGAAAATGGGCAAGAACTAAGAGCAACATGTGATTGTCCATGTGGGTGAAAGTAATGGAAGAGCAGATTGTGGGAGGCAAAGAAGTGTGCAAAAAAAATAGAGTGATGAAGAGGCCATGAATGGAAAGATAGCTGGAGTGGGAGCAGGAAAGAGGATAGGTGGTTGTTTGTGTTGCCTTGAGGGACAACAAAAGATGTGGGAGAGAACGGCTGGTGAATAAAGATGCTGGAATGGAAAAGGTGCTGGAGAGGGATGTTAGGCAGGAGGTGGAAGAGGAAGGCAGATGACTCCAAATTGAGGACAGTGTACAACATTCAGTTGCGCTCTGAGGCAACTAAAATACAAATCACTGCAAGACTGCAGCTTTGAAATGATTGGGGCTGAAAGGTAAGCACTCAGAGGGGCTGTTTTGGACAAGAGGGGAGATAACGGGAGTGGGTTGAGAGGGTAGGAGGTAGAGGTGTTTTTGACAGCACAAGCGGTGTAGGAAGGATGAAAAGTGGAAGTGAGGAAAAAGGAGGTGAATTAAGCATAGAAAGTGTATACAGAGCCGAGGAGCATTTAGACAGTGGAGCACAAACAACTGGGGGGGATTGTGGAAAGTCTCTCTGCCAAGAAGGGCATCTTTAACAACATGGTTTTATAATACAACTATGAATACACTTGTTATAAAAGCATACTTTAATAGTGTTCTGTAATGTACTGCTTCATACCGTGTTATTGCTCATGAAGCAGCCAGGAGGTCAATCAATAATATGGACACATGCTTCACTCCAGGCCAAAGACTTTGATTCAATAGCTAGAATAGTGCTTGGCAAAAAAAAGCAAAGCATGCTCTGCACCAAGTGTTTCGGTGATGCAGTCATGCTACAGTATAGCAATTCACATCATGCTTTGAAACGAGAGTGCTTTCAGGCTCTGGAAAGCTTGCCTGTATTTATAGACAATAGAGTAGTGTAGAAAAAATATGTTCCTACTGTGCTGCCATGTACTGTACCTTTACCATATGTATATTTCGTAATTTTCTGTCTGTTTCTTTAGTCTTCAAAATGACAATCCAATGCACGTAAAAACAAGCAGGAAAAACACGCTGACAACTGCCCCATCTCTTTAGTTGGTGCTGCAGTGTGGTGACCTGTAGAATAATAATTATTTGCCTTAGTGCACCCTTACCATGAATAATTGCTGTGATCAAAACTGTGACTTGGTACTGCCCACAGCCGTAACAGATATTCTTTTACCACTGCTGTGTCTTCATCGAAGCATAATTCCCTGTTTATGCTTTGCAAAATAACATGTTCCTCTTTTGTTTTCCCTCCTCCTCTCTCTGCTGCCTCCCTCCCCTCCATCCAGCCTGTGAGCTGATGAACCGTGGTATCCTGGCTCTGGTCAGTTCAATTGGCTGCATGTCTGCGGGCAGCCTCCAGACTCTGGCCAATGCCATGCACATCCCCCACCTCCTCATCCAGCGCTCCCCGGCGGGAACACCTCGCTCCACCTGCCCACCAACCAGTCGCATCCCTGGAGCAGATGACTACACCCTATCGGTCCGCCCACCCGTCTATCTCAATGAGGTCATCATGCAAGTGGTGTCTGAGTACAGCTGGCAGAAGTTCATCCTCTTCTATGATTCTGATTTTGGTAAGGAAATAAGGAAATATCTCTATCTGTCTGTCTGCCTGTCTGTGTGTGTGTGTGTGTGTGTGTGTGTGTGTGTGGATGTGTGTGATTAGGATTGTAATTTGGAACACTTATATTGGAAGCAATACAATACATTAGTTTATAAATTAATACATTCAACTATGTAAGGTATCTTAACCACACCAAATCACATGACTAGTGTCAAAAAATGAGATGGCCTATTTGATTATGTGGAATAACATACTGAATGAAATCAATGTTAAAAATTGATATACAGATAACAAGAGTCGACTAGCTGCCTTTCTATGACGTAGAGTGCGGTGAAGAGTCCTAGAGCACACATACTATCAAGCCAGAGTGCACTAACTGTAGCCTGGGCCGCAATATACAGTCAGAATGATGGAACTGCACAGCCAAAGTGCGTTTTGGCTTGGTTATTAGGTCAGTTTTGTTAGTGAAGATTTAAAGAGCTGAAAATTTGCAAAAATTATACATTTCTGTGGCATATTTTTTTTCATATAATAGAACAGATGTCAGAAAGTCAGATAGAGGTTATAACTCAATTTTGATCAAATGTGAAATGACTGTGCTTTGCATTTGTAGGGCAATAGCAGGTCTATGAAACTGCTCGAATTTATCTAACGTAACAGTATCAATGGTTTCTCATTATGGTAGGACATTAGAGAGCTAATGGATGTATGGTTAAGTCAGAAACACTGCTTTCTCTCTTTTTTTCTCTCCTTTCTCTCCTTTCTCTCTCTCTCTCTCTCTCTCTCTGTCTTTCTGTCAAACAAACAGACACGGACATGCATATGCATATGACATATGTATCTTTATGCATCTTTATGCTGGTGACACATCCGTCTGCCTGCGTATGCATGCTGTCTCATTTCACCCTGCTTCTCCATCTCTTTCCGTCTGTCCGCCCTCTCTCTTTCCAGTCCATTAGTTCTATCATTAGACTAGAAGCATCATATGTCCCTTTTATAAAGTACAACTTTGTTTGTGCAGTGTCTGAGCTTCTTTTAACAGAAATATCACGTTGCTGTTTTCTGTGGACATAGGTGTATTCATAATGTGTAGGTGTGCATGTGGTCTGTTTTACATATTGTGTCCTTTATATGGTCCAACCTTCTTGATTGCTTGGCGAGGAGCCTCTCTTGTGAGCTAGGATCCTGAACTTAATCAGACTCACACAAAGCACGTACCCTGTCAGTTTACGCCATCACACTGCCTCATTCTACGTGTAAAGTTAATTCAAATCTGAGTCATAAAGGGATGCACACTGCCGGTGCACCGCTCCCAAGGGGTTGAAACTTAAAAGCATCTTGCATTTTGGATCACACCCCGATGAGTGATGTCTGAGCAGGTATTTTGCAAGCTGATGGAAAACACTAGCTGTGACATCACTCATCGGTGGGTGGACAGAAATCTAACAGGCCTAAGCCTATAGACATCAGTGTAATAATTTCTTGCCCGAGGTGATTCAGTGTTGATTTAATCCATATAGCGGGGCTTCATCTCACTCATTGTAGTCAATTAACACCGTTAATGTGTTGTTTGCATTGATCTCCAATGGGATATCTCTGCAGCGGTATTGTTTTTGCAATACGCTCTGCAGGCTCCAGCTCAATCTTCTGAGGCTTTAAAGCATTGTATTGGTGTATTTAATATGCACTCTAGCTGGTGAGCTCTACCAAGCAGTTTATATTGGATGAATATTGAATAGTGGCTGATGTGGCCCTTCTGGAAGTGCTAGTAGCACACTGCAGATGTCAGTGTAGTAAATGAGATGGTTACATAAACCCTAATATACCGTACTCTTGGCATTCAATCAGTAAATTAATGGTAGGTCGAAGAATACAATAACACAGTTACTAAGTACTATAGTGCTGCTCTGTGTGTATGTTACACTGTTGGCATAGCGCCTGGAACTTTTGCATATTAAGTACTTTGACAGAACAATTGTCAATCTGACCCATGATGAATGGTGTGGTGAGAGCCCAAGTGCTGCACGGGCAACAATGTAGTGTCATATGTCCAACAAATGTATGAAGAAATCGTAGAGAGACAATAAGAACATATTTGCATGAGAATTTTAAGCAGTATCTTGTCCATCGCTGCCTTTCCTCATATATTGAAATCTGAATCAACTGATCTGGTTTCTGGCTTTTTTTCTTCTGCACCAAAGGTCTCCATGAATTCAACTTATTTAGAGTTAACAACAGATATATGCATGCCTGTTGGGAAAAGGCTTTAGCTGTGACATTAACGTAACCCTGATCAAGACTGAAGGAACAGCGTTTTTTCACCAAGCTAGACAACCTTTAATCGACTCTAAAATGTGTCCCCAAATGGGGTATAGTTAAAAAAAATATCTACACAACAGACCCCATACACACACACACGCACACATGTTTGCACCCCACTTAAATCCCCCCTTCCCCTCTGTGCTCTGTGACCACTGATTCAGCACATGGATCCTTTGGGTTTTGGCAGTGATGTTCTCTCAGCCACAGAAGGCCCTTTAAAGATATCACCATTGTTCCCTAATGGCCTCACCCCCTGTTGAAGGAGAGAGGGGAGAGAGAAAGAGCGCAAAAGACAAGAGAGAGAGAGAGAGAGAGAGAGAGAGAGAGAGAGAGAGACAGAGATGGCCTTTTAAGATGATAGCAATGTTCCCAAAAGGCCTCGTCTCTGTACAAGGAGAGTTATTTAGAGAACAGACAGCCGAGTGTGTCCTCTCAAATGAAGCTTCGGTGCAACTATTTTGAACTCTAGTGGTGCGTTCCGGACACTGAGAACACAAGTTTTCTCTCTAGTATCTTTCTTTCCCTCCTGCCACAGTTTATCTCTCTCCCTCCATATTCCTTTCTGTCATTCTTCTTTTCTGATTTCTGCTCCGTTTTCTCTTTCACTTCTTTTCAGTCTGTCCTCGGGTGTCTTGTATTCACACTGACATTTTTAAAATGAGAGTGACAAGTTACTGTTACCTGCTGAGTGACCTTGCCCATAATGTCTTGGCCAGGTCTCCCTTGAAAAAGAGATTTTTAATCTCAATGGGACTCACCTGGTTAAATAAAGGTTTAAATAAAAAAATAAATAAATCCAGTCAAAACCAAAGCAACACAGGCCTTGTTGAGCAAATGTGGGAAGTGCCACTTAGTGTTAACAACACTGTTGACATTAAGGTGATTTGTTTGGTTTTGCTTTTAGCCAATGACGAGAGGGGCCTGAGGCACAATAGTAAAAGGTTATACCGAACTGAAGTGCCATTTTAAAAGTGGAACGCTTGTTAGGTTGCCAGCTTTTTTTAATGAGAGAACAATAAAAGTGCTGATATTTTGGACAAGTATACTTTGTTTGATAAAAAGTAATGTGAGTGAAATGATGAAAGACCTCAAAGGTTCTCTATATGAATATTAATATAGCAGCAACACACTATTGTAAAAATATATCAGAGTGATGGCGTCCTGATTAGATAATGAAGTCACTCTTCCTCTTTGTGTTATAATGCGAGCTTATCTGTGCTTTGTTTACATAGCCGGCTCAGTTGTGCCCCACTGGCTGGCTGATAGCCGCTGCTCTGCACTGTGCCCATTCGGCGGTTAAAGCTGATAATGCTGTTCAGACGGTTGCAGTTTTGCAGAAGCGTAGTGTCCCCCCCCCC